TTTTAGAATACACATCTTGCCCTCAGTTAGGCATGGCAATCCGGTAGCAGACAGATTATCTCAAAGGTCAGTAAATATTAGTAAAGATTTACTTTGAGGCTATTAGGTCAGGAAATTGCTTGAGCCAACACTACCTTGACAGAATAATCAGTGCATAGCTTTTAGCCTTTGCTAAAGCTCAAGGTTCATCAGCCTTCCGAGTTCCTTGTTGCACTTTCATGATAGTGTTTGACAATGGATAGCTTCCCACATATATAGGTAGGTAGGTAGGTAGGTAGATAGATAGATAGATAGATAGATAGATAGATAGATAGATAGTAGTCAGGGAAATCAAAACACCACAGTTATCATCATCCTGCCCTGATCTGTTAGTCTGATGCTGACTTTTAGGAGAAGACAGGCTGGTTAGCTTGTAGAATGTCCCAAAACAATCATGATTGTTTTTTCATGATGCCATTTAAACTTTAATCTCTTGTACCTTCTATAGACTTCAAGTTAGGTCTAGAGATTTGATCAGTTTCAGGTTAAGCATTTTAAACAAAATACTTAATAATTGTCAAGAATAATTCATAGGTGCTACTGTGCTACCCACTCCTAATGATGCTAAATTATCTACATAATTAACAAATAATCTGTAGAGTGGCATTTTGGTTCTATTCAAAAACAACCTTTTACAAATGCTTTTAACATCTGCTATGGACTGAATGTTTGTGTCCCACCCCTCAAAATGCATATGTTGAAACCTAAGCCCTAAGTGATAGTACTAGGAGATGGGGCCTTGGGAGGTGATTAGGCCATGAGGATGGAGCCTTTATGAATGGGATTAATGCCTTTATAAGAAGAGACAAAGGAGCTAGCTCACCCCTTTTTTACCATGTGAGGATACAAGAATACAGCTGTCTGTAATCTGGAAGTGGGCCCTCACCCAACCATACTGGTACCATAATTTTGGACTTCCAGCCTCCAGAACTGTGAGTAATAAATTTCTGTCTGTTGATAAGCCACCCAATTTATGGTATTTTGTTATAGCAACTCAAGATGACTAAGACAACATCCCTTGAGGTTCTTTGCCTGAATCAATTATTACATGGAGGCTTTCAAAATAGTAATTTATTAATTATACTAGAAGCCCAGTGCATGAAATTCGTGCATGGGGGCGGGGGGGCAGTCCCTCAGCCCTGCCTGCACTCTCTACAATTCAGGACCCCTACATCTTTTTCTTACCTAGCTAACCTCTTCACATTTAAAAAAATTAACTGAAATACCACCTACTCTAGGAAATCCTCTTTGAACAAATCTCTTTACAATCTGTACTAAGTATTTTATAGTATATCATTCTTTTTCTTTAACAGCAGCTTAGAGTGGATGCAATGTGCTTCTCACTCTTGCATCTGAATTTTTTCTTCTTGTTTTTGTAATAGCAAAGCTTATCCAATTTACATTTGCCCTTCAAGGGCTTATATTTGGTTCAGTTTCTAGTTGGCTCCCTGCTTTTTTTTAAGCAATAAATTTGGGTTGTGATAGTAAGCCTCACTTGTCATCAAGCCTGTAGGTCTCCCTGTCTGAATATTTCTATAATACCTATCACTTTAGCATACCAGAGATTGTGTTCATTTGTAGAAAATAACAATAAGTGTCACCTGATCATTTGATCTTCTAGTAATATTTTATAGCAAGATGTATTATTCTAGTAATTTAACTATTACAAAACTGAGGTGTACAGAAATAAATCACATTGAACAATAAAGAATGACTCAAATATCAGAGCATAGTACCCTTAGGGCCTCCCTTGTCCTGTGCCTCAGATATCATAGGATATTACACAGTTCACATGGAACTCAGTTTCCTTTAAAATAGGAAGGGATCCCATACTCATGAAGTAGCTACTTCCACACGTTTTTTTTTATTTAATTCACAGCACATACTCTTAGTACTAATTGTTGGGAAATCATCCTAGCAATTGCTTCTGTTACTCTCTGTATTGTTGCCTTACATTCTGATGTCATTACTGCGCTTTTATCAGAGGAGGGGCTGAGGGAATTTGAGGAAATCCAGACAGAATTCTCCTCCTAAAAGATTTTTCTAAGCTAGAGCCCAGGACCACCGGGCATTTGTCCAATTAAAACCTGGACACACAGGAATAACAAAGGCACTGGTCTCCTACTGCTAATGCCTAGGGATCAAACTCCAGCCTGCAGGAACTCACCCCTGCAGTCAGGACCAGGCCGCTGGGTGGACCTGGGCCGATACTCCTAACTCTGGGGAGAGGGAGACTTCCCGTGGCTGCAGGCTAGAGGCCCCGGACTCCGTGCCACCCACCCGAATAGGTCTATAGTGCAGGCTGGTCAGCATAGCAGCTTCTTCACCTGGGATCACGGGAGGTCTGACCTGGCCTGTTAGCCCCATGATTGCAGAGAGGCCTGGTCTGGCCTGTTCGCCCCATGATCACAGGGAGGCTTGGCCTGGCCTGCCAGGCTGGGGAGCATGGACCTGGGCCGCTGCTTCGCACTGGCGCACACACAAGTGGCCACAGGGTGGGGACATCCACTTGGCGCCTGTGCCTGTACGTCCGGAGTGGCTGGGGGTGTTCTGGGACCCCAGATGCTCAGGGCCTATGTGCAGGCCTACAGGCTAGGAGTGGCCTGGGTCCCAAGGATGTTCCCAGGCCGCCTGTGTATGCAAATTAACTCACCATCTTTGTTGGGTTAATTTGCATACTCTCCTGATTGGCTGGTGAGTATAGTGGAGGGATGGTCAATTTACATGTTTCTCTTTTATTATATAGGATATTTTTTTCTTTATTAGGTGACATTCTTCTATAAATAATTGCTGTAGTAAATACTGTGGTGCTCTGCTCAGATCTCCTCTTCAGGGCCAGTACATTATCCCCAGTTTCTGGGAAAGTCAGCTACTGAATTCACAGCTATGTCTCTCATTGAGAATGGCCCTCAGATACAGGGAACTGCTTCACTCAGGGTTACACACTCACTTCCCACCCCTGCCCAGGAATCAGGCAGTAGTCAATGAGTATCTGATGTCGGAATAAAACATACCACCCATTCTCCTCAATTTACTACAATTCTGAAGGGCTATCCCAGCTCCACAGCTCTCTGTAGTATTGTCTGAGGCCTCAGTTGTAACTGCACTGCAAGTTAATTCTCCCTCTGTCCAATTCTATCTTCTTTAACCTTTACAGATGATTTCTTCTCTGTAAATCTTCCTTATGCAACTCTCCATCTCTGTTCATCTGAAACTCATTTTAAAACAATAAAAGAGCTTTCTCCTTTTTTCCTTTTATCTTTTTGTTCATTTTTAGAGTATCACTATGAACTCATGGATTTTTGTTTATTAAATGTATTACAATAAATTGCAGCTATTGTTCTTTGTGGTGTTCAAATGATCTCAAAAGTGGTTAGTGAAGGTCCTTCATGATGCCCCCTCTGTCCCTTAGACATATCCCATTAGTCTTTAAGTGCATTCTTGCTTTCTAGCAGAATAAGAAAACCATGCTCATCACGCATTCTTCCAGCCCCAGACCCAGAATCTAAAAAACTCTGGTTCCATTTTCATGGGAATGGTGGCAAGAGATCAAGACATGGGCACTAGGGATAAACTGTTTTTCTCTTAATTTCATTTTCTAAATGTGTTTTTGCTACTATACAGAAATACAATTTATTTTTGTACAGAAATTTGACTGTGGTCACATCAGAATTACAATCAAGTTCTCCTGAATCTCAGTCTATATCAGTTAGAAATAGTTTCAGCTGCAAATAACAGAAAGTTGGTTCCCAATTGACTAGGAAAACAATAAGTTTGATTAGCTCATTTAATAAGGAGTCTGTTGATAGCCAGTCTTTGACTGATATAATACTAGTAGTGTAATGATCCTGTCAGGGACCCAGTTTACTATTTAACCACTTGTTAGTTTGTTCTCATGTTTCTTGCCTGGTTCTTACAAGACCACTGGCCTACTCCCAGATATTATCTACATTCCAAGCAAGAATAAGGGAGAATAAAGAGGTTAATGATTAAGTAAAACTCCTTTCCAGGCTTTGCTTGTTTTATTTGAGAAAGATGCCCTCTCTATATAATTCCACTTACTCGTTATTGGACAGAACTGTCACAAGTCCAACTCTTGATGTTAGGTAGGTTAAAAATTGAGCAACTTGGGTCTGTTGGGATTACCCTTTACAAGGAATTTTCGCTTAATTAGAAACCTAACTGCCATTTAAAAACCATTTTCAGTTAGATATGAGTGGTGATCCTGGGCAAGGTTGGTGGCAGGCATAGGCATACATGTGCAATGAAATGGCAAAGGGAAATCCTACAGTAAGGACAGGTACAGCAATGGCGCCAGTTTGTTCCTAATATGTAGGGAAGACAATGAAAACTGTCACCGCTTACCAGGTGCCTACAGTGGCATTAGAGAGAACAGCTGTCTGCTACTCTATGCTGAGTTTTCGTAAGAGCAGGCATCAGAGTTTCTCCCTCGTTTGTGTAGGTTGCTACCCTCCCCACAGCCGAGTGCGGCTCCCAGGTCCTCCCCCAGGACCCTTGCAGGACTGGCCCTGAGTCCCGCCCACTGACCCCTGAGCCTGAGAGGACAGCCCAACTCTGGGGGACTAGCCCTGGGTCCCTGCGCACTGTGAACAGCAGGCGTCGCTATTGTTCTTGTTCGGAGGAGCTGGAGGAAGTGGATAGGGTGGCTTTGGGAGGATGGAGGGACACAGAGTCCCCAGGGGACACTTTGGAAAGGGGCCGTCGGAATAGCCCGCTTGCCTCTCGCCGCCCAGAGACCTCTCCCCCGTCCTCGCGGAAAATGGTGGCAGAGAACCACGTCAGATCCACTGTCCCCTAACGACGCCATGTCGTTCATTGCGGGTGGGGGGACAGGGAAGCTGGGACGCACCGGTTCTGCGCTTGCGCCACTGCGCCCCGACCGACTGCGGGCTCCGGGGTAACAGGGTGCCGGAGCGGAAGTGCTCCGCTGACCCCTGACCCCGAGGGCGTGAGAGTCCGCTGTCTGTTGTTTTCTGCGCGAAGCTGTCAGTTCCTGCGAGCAAGGTAAGGGGAGGCGGACTTGGGGAAGCGCTTCAGGGGGAGGGTGTCCAGCGACAGAGCAGGGCTGCGATGTGTGTTGCGGGGCGGACTGCGGAGTTCGAGTGATTGAGGGATTCATTGAGTGCCTAGTAAATGCCCTATGAGTGGGTACTACGATTATCTTCATTTGATAGAGCGAGAAGAAGAACAGAAAAGCTCGGAAGCCTGTCCATAGTCACACAGCTAGGAAACTGGGGAAGCGTTTCCCTTTTTTTAAATTTGTGGAACTTCAGAGTCCTTGCTAGGTATGCTACCATCCAGTTCTGCCTTCTGTTGATGCTACTGTAACTGGGCCTGAGAGCGTGACTTATTAGGCTACAAGTGCTAAACCCTGTTATTTCAATGCTGCCACAGGAATTGTAATAACGGTTATTCCACACTAAAGCTCCTGGCTGAAACTTTCTTTGCAAAACTGCCCAACAGGGAAGAGCATGGTGACCAAAGCAAAATCATGAGAAAGGGGGGAGGGATGGTGGGGTGAGCCAATGAAGGGCAGAGGGCACAGGGGACAAAGTCAGTGGTTTCCAGCCCCATTGGAACTGACCAGTGCTGGGCTCCTCTCCTCCCAGCCCTCTTAACCCTTGTTGGTCTCTTTTCCTCCAAACCACAGCAAGACATCCCTGTCCTCCAGACTTTTCTCAAGATCTGTCACCTCTAGGGCTCAGTGTGATAATCGGAGATTTGTAATAATTTTTATTTGGCTAGTAATTAATATTCACTGTCAAAACTGAGAAATGCAAATAAACAAAAGCGGAAAGGTGACATCACCATTCAAAGGTAACTGTCAACATTTCAATAAATGCTCTTCCAGACTGCTCTTCCTTAGTACACACATACTGCTTAACAAATGGGATCACACTGCAGTTGCTTTTTGTAACCTGATTTTAAACATGTTAAGAAATGAAAACAGGCCCTAGCTGGATGGCTCAGTGGATAGAGTGTCAGCCTGTGGACTGGGGGGTCCCAGGTTCAATTCCGGTCAGGGCACATGCCTGGGTTGTGGGCTTGACCCCCCAATAGGGAGCATGCCGGAGGTAGTCAATCAATGATTCTCCCTCATCATTGATGTTTCTATCTTTCTCCCCCTCTCCCTCTCTGAAATCAATGGAAGTATATTAAAAAAAAAAAGAAATGAAAACAGGATTCCACACCATTTTTAAAGCCCATGTGGTATTACTATTTGTATTTTTTTTTTCTATTTGTATTTCTTACTTTTTAGTGGAGTTCCACTTGCTGGAGGTTAAGTTGAGTCCAAATTTTTGAATGGTGGAAACAACTACACTAACATCCTTGCAGCTTTGTACTCTTTGTATTTGCTTTTTTATGATACATTTCCAGGAATAAAATTATTGAGAGAAAGGAGGTACCAGGTTATTAATAGCTTCTGAGTAGATGTTTTTAAACACGTTATACATCTGTCCAGGAAATTGGGAAAATTCCATGTGCAAAATCCACAAGTGCTTAGCAACATCTCAAGGGAATAGACTGGCGCTCCAGGCCATGTTTCCAGATTATTCTACCCAGGGTGCAAGGGTGGTTATTGTTAGGCTGATGATTGTGGTCTCATGGCTGTTTTCACTGATCTTGAACTTCCTAATTCTACCTTTGTAGATCTCCATCCTTTGTCCAGAGCAGAACAGAATGGCCATGTCTCAGGTGAGTGCCTCATTTCCCCCCTACTTTGTTTCCAGTGAGCTTCGGGCAGCTTTGGGGAATCTATAATGTAACCTTGAAAGATCTGTTAATCCCTTCTGCTCTGGCTGTTTTCTGTTCAACCTGTCGTACACCTCAGGTTTCTCCAATCCTTGCCCTCCCCCCAAAAAGAATAAGAAAAGATAAAAGACAAATACTTTTCTCATCTTATTCCTCTGAGAAATTCACCTCATCTTTCTTCTCTTCCTTCTCAGAGGAGATTGTTTAAATACTTAGAATCATCTGGCTTCTTCCATTTCTTCACTTCCAGTTCACTTTTGCTTTTTCTTTATGTTGAAAATAATGAAAGAAAATCCATGCTTAATGTTTTAATATTCATGAAAAATAGTAGGCAAAACAGTCCCATTTCTTCTCCCTCCAGTTCTTCCACAAGATGCCCGTTGTTACCAGTTTGGTGATAGCATGGTGTGGATGCATTTACATCAGTTAAATTAACTAAAAACAGATACATATGTAATGTCGTACATGTTTTTGCACCAATGCCATCCAGCTCCCATATCCATCTTGCTTTTCCCATCTGATTATATATTCCAGGTGGTGTTCCTCATCCTATATAATAAAAGATTAATATGCAAATTGTCCCCTCGACAGGGAGTTCGACCAGGGGGCGGGGCCAGCCATCCAACCTCCCGTGTCCCCTCCCCCCGGCCAGCCCAGCCCAATTGGCCCGATCGGGGTAGGCCAGCCAGACCCTACCCATGCAAGAATTCATGCACTGGGCCTCTAGTCAATACATAAAGATTATTTTAGTCCTATTTTGTAGTATGGATGTATCATTTAACTTTTTCTCTATTCATGGATACTTAGGTTTTTAATTTTCTTCTTCTTTTATGAACAGTGCCTCTTAAACAACTTTCTATGTATATATCCAGTAGTGCAGGTATTTATGGAGAATACACCTGGAAGTTGGAATTTTAAATCCAAGGTATTCACACTTCAAATTTGCCCTCCCAAATCCTAGATTAATTGCTACTTTCACAAAATTTTAAAGGCCAGGTCATTTCTATGTTCAACTTTTCCAGGCTCTTGAAAGATGAAACGGAATTCAATTCATTTTATGAAGCCACTTAACCTTACATTTGAAGAAGATACTACGATGTAAATCATAGACCATTTTTACTTAAGCATATGCATACTAAAATTCTAAAAACATATTCTAAATAGAGCATTAATGCATTGAATTGAGCATTTTAAAAAGTAATTTGTACATATGATAAAAATTCAAACAAAAGCATTGTTTAACAAAAGGTGAAAAAGAATTCTTCCTGTTCCCCTGTCCCCGCATCTCCTTCATTTTTATACATTCTTATAGATATCAGGTATGCATATCTACCTATCTTGAAATAAAAATCTTTCTTTCTTTTTCATATATTACAGCACATTCTGGTACTTTTCATGATCGTTTTCCCTTCACTGTATTTGGTCAGCCCCAGGTTTTCTCAAATTGGTACTCTTGACATTTTAGGCCAGATAATGCTATATTGTAGGGAGCTTGAGTATACATTGGAGATATTCAGCAACATCGCTGACCTCTATCCTCTTGATGTCAGCACCCCACCCCACATGGCAATGAAAAATTTTTACAGGCATTGCCAACTATTCCCTGGAAGACAAAATCACCCAGGGTTGTACCCCATTTACAAAATGGCTGATTGATACCCCACTGCCTGGAAATACCATTACATATTTACCTTCTGTGATGTACATTTAGGATGTTTTGATGCCATAAACAACATAGCAATACATATCCATATACATTTCAGTTTATAGCCATAGCTGACCTGGTAGATAACTTTCTAGAGGTGAGAATTCTAGGTCAAAGGCTGTGAATCTTAAATTTTGACAGTTTCGGGCTTCTAAACCAGGTGGCCCCCTCTCTTCTCTAGTGAGGTCATGGTCCCTAGCAACTGAGCTATCATTTGGAAGGAGTGAGAGGAGAGGGTGAGCTGCTCTGAGAACTCCTGCTTCCTGTCTCCTTCTTCTGCAGAGCTAAGTAAAACTGATGCCATGGAATGCCTATTGGAGCCTTGTGGGTGCAAAATGTTTCCTTGAATTCAAGACCACCAGTGTTGGTGTGACGGTATAGGATCCAGAGTGTAAATAAATGGGTTATTGGTCTCTGACAGGAATCCGGGCACTTAGAAAAGTGAATGTTTGTTTGGTGGTGGCTGACCAGGCCAGACACAGACCCTCCGGCTTCCTGGTTTTTGGTGTGTGTGTGTGTGTGTGTGTGTGTGTGTGTGTTTATGATTGATTAGCTAAGAGTAGAACCCTTGGTCGTTATAAAGGAAAAACCCATTGAGTCCCTTCTGTATAAAGGAAAACCCAGTTCTTCCGGACCATGTCTTTCTTTCCTGTATTTCTCCTTTTTGTGTCTCTTTCACTATTCACACAGAACACTTCCCTTCTGCCACTTCTGGTCACCAAATGTGTGGAGGTTTTTCCCCACAGCAAGCACTTCTTTGTCACTGGGTATCCTACAGTCTAACTCAATTTTTTTTTTTTACATTCTCCAATATATTTTATTTTTTATTTTGGTTTTTTGTGTGTGTGACCACAAATCAATCTTTATTTTATTTCTTATTGCTTAAAGTATTACAATACTTTACAGGCATTGCCAACTATTCCCTGGAAGACAAAATCACCCAGGGTTGTACACACACACACACACACACACACACACACACCCCAAAAACCAGGAAGCCGGAGGGTCTGTGTCTGGCCTGGTCAGCAGATTGAGGTAAACAAAGGAAGGTCTATGTTTGGCTTATCACCACCAAACAAACACTCACTTTTCTAAGTGCCCGGATTCCTGTCAGAGACCAATAACCCATTTATTTACACTCTGGATCCTATACTGTCACACCAACACTTGGTGGTCTTGTATGTCTCCTTTTTTTCCCCCCTTGACCTTCCCCTGGCCTCCCCTACCCGCTAGTGTCTGTGTCCATTGGTTATGCTTATATGCATGTATACAAGTCCTTCGGTTGATCTCTTATCCCCCCCAACCCCCACCACCAACCCTCCCCGGCCTTCCCACTGTAGTTTGACAGTCTGTTCGATGTTGCTCTGCTTCTGTATCTATTTTTATCACTAACTACCTGAAGATAGCATCAGATCCCACAAGTTAAGGGCTCAGTCCCACAAAACTGCCCACCACACCTGTGTTTCTGACCAAGCAGCTATAGATCCCAGAGGTTCCAGTGGCTCCCCATCTTGGTTAATTTGCTAGAGTACCTCCCAGAACTCAGGGAAACATAGGCTATGATAAAGGATACAGATGAGCTTCGAGAAGAAGAGCTACATAGGGTGAGGCCTGGGAGGGTTCTGAGTGCAGAAGCTTCTGTCCTCATGGAGTTGGGGTGGGGGTGTCACCCTCCCTGTATGTGGGTATGTCCACCCAACTGGAAGCTCCCTGAATCCCTTACTATAGGAATTTCTTCAAGGCCTCCCCTCATACATACACTCAAATATTAACTCCATTTCCAGCCCTGGTCCTTTCTCTGGAGGATGGTGGTTGGGGCTGAAAATTCCAAGCTTCTAATCATGGCTTGGTCTTTCTTTTTTTTTTAAATTTTATTATTTATTACAAAGGATATTACATATGTGTCCATTTTTTCCCCCCGCCCAAGACAGTCCCCTAGCCTCCCCCATCCCCCAGTGTCTTATGTCCATTGGTTATGCTTATATGCCTGCATACAAGTCCTTTGGTTGATCTCTTATCCCCCTACCTCCCACCCCCGAACCCTCCCCGGCCTTCCCGCTGCAGTTTGACACTCTGTTTGAGGCAGCTCTGCCTCTGTATCTATTATTGGTCAAAAGTTTATAATGGTCTCAATTATCCATGAATGAGTGAGATCATGTGGTATTTTTCCTTCATTGACTGGCTTATTTCACTTAGCATAATGCTCTCCAGTTCCATCCATGCCGTTGCAAATGGTAAGAGTTCCTTCCTTTTTAGAGCAGCATAGTATTCCATCGTGTAGATGTACCACAGTTTTCTAATCCATTCATCTACTGATGGGCACTTAGGCTGTTTCCAGATCTTAGCTATGGTGAATTGTGCTGCTATGAACATAGGGGTGCATATATCCTTTCTGATTGGTGTTTCTGGTTTCTTGGGATATATTCCTAGAAGTGGAATCACAGGGTCAAAAGGGAGTTCCATTTGTTGCTTTTTGAGGAAACTCCATACTGTCTTCCATAGTGGCTGCACCAGTCTGCATTCCCACCAGCATGGCTTGGTCTTTCTAGTGACCAGCCCCCCATTCAGGAGTCAATCAAGAGTCACCTCTTTAGAACAAAAGGTGTTCCTAGTGATTTTATCATTTAGGAAATGATAAGCATTTTAGGAGCTCTGTGCCAGGAACCAGGGAGCAGATACCAAATATATATTTTCTCTTATCTCACAGTCATGATTGAGTAGCTGCATTTAGAACCGTTCTAGTTCTGTAGTCTCTGTGAAGTCTTCTGTGTCAGCCCCAAGGAGAATTTACATCTTCCTCTCCTCTGTTCAGTCTTCTCTGTCACTGTCCTCTGAGGGCTGACAACCCTCCTTCTCTCTCACTTTCCCTCCCAGCTATGCTGAAGCTCCTTCTGTTCAGGAGGTGTTTGTTTTTATTAATCTTCACATCCTTGGAACTTAACTGCTTGGTCACTATTCAATAAATATGGGTTGAAAGAATGAATTTCCAGGGTAAGATCTGTTTTTTCATAAAGCTTAAAATAACTTTGTTACATAAACACTTTATATCCTATACTATGTCAAATTGTGGACAGTGAACAGCATAAGGACAATTATATAGAGGAAGGCAATGCAGTGTGCTGTGTTAAAATGTAGGTGTGGAGACCTGGCCAGTGTGCTCAGTGGTTAGAGCATCAGCCTGCGCACCAAAGGGTGGCAGGTTCGATTCCCAGTCAAGGACAGGCACCTGGGTTGTAGGTTCACTCCCGGCCCTAGGTTGGGGTGCAGGTGGGAGGCAACCAACCGATGTGTCTCTCAGCTAGCGCTCTCTCTCTCTCTCTCTCTCTCTCTCTCTCTCTCTCTCTCTGTCTCTTCCCCCTCTCTCCCTCCCTCCCTTCCACTCTCTCTGACAAGCAATGGAAAAAATATCCTCTGCTGAGGATTAACCAAAAAACATGTGGGTGTGGAAACCAGGCCACTTGGGTTTTAATCCCTAATTCCTAGGTGCATGACCTGGGGTGAGTGTGCCTCACTGTCTTCATCTGTCAGGATTCTGGATGGGAGCAAGGATCAAAATCCTTAGGATAGGCACAGAGTAGGCAGTTGATACAAGTCATATATATCCAGTCCCCCGAGCGCATCACTCTGGGCTAGAGAAAAATGTGCTGTTGTAGGAATCATTGACCTTCAGAGATGTGTTTGTGGACTTCACCTTGGAGGAGTGGCAGCAACTGGACTTTTCTCAGAAGAACCTCTACAGGGATGTCATGCTGGAGAACTATGGCCACGTGGTCTCTGTGGGTGAGGAACTGCTCCATGGTGTGGCTAGAATACCCCTACTCATGTCTCCCTTTCTCGGCTGCTGCATGCTCAGGGGTGTCTGAAGCCCTGAATGAGTTTAGGCCTAAGGCTCACTGTCAAGAATTCATACTCCTGTTTGCACCCGGCACAGTATGTTTGTGCTCTTGCTTTCTATGTGCATGTTCTGCATGAGGGGAAAATAGCTGTGCTCATGGGACGGTCACCGAGGCCAGACCATCTTCACCCTGCAAGGATGGGTCTCGGTTCTAGACTGCCTCCAGCATTAATAATAAAGTCCTGTGTCATTTCACCTCCACAGGATACCTGGTGGATACACCAGATGTGATCTTCAGGTTCGGACAAGGAGACGAGGCCAGGAGGGAAGATGGAGAACCCATAATACAGAGCTGTCCAGGTGAGCATGTGCCTGCCAGTCAGGACAGGGCCAGGAGAACACAATAGAGCAGTGAGAGCTTGGCCTTGGGCATGCCCTTGAGCTCTTCTCAGAGCCCCAGCCTTAAGGACAGGACTCAGATTGAAATGAGTTGCTGTGATATCCACAGGATGCCCCCCATACACTGGTTGCCTAGTGAGAAGTGCTAAGCCTTTTCTTCATCTTTTCTGGCACCTTCAGGGCTTTCCCCCTCTTGAGTATTTATATTTTCATCAGGATAGAAGTAGATGCAGGTGTGATGTTTCCTCTTTATTTGCCATATGGTGGGCCCTTTGAGTCTGAAACTTGGAGTATTGTCTTCAACCTCAGGGAAATGATCCTACCTGGTTTAATAGAATCAGTGTGGACAAAAAGCTTTGCTAATGACCTTCAACTCTATCAGACTAGGTACCCACTTGTCTTTTCCTGCCCTCACGGTGTGAGTGAACAGTGTCAACATTAACACAGTTCTCTATTTTCTCTTCTTATTTCCTCTCAGACTCTTCCAAAACTGACTTGTGACTGCTGGTTTTCATATTCCTCCTCTTATCAGTACTTCCTTCCCACTCAACTCTTTTGTCTTTTGTATCATCTGTTTATTAAAAAAAAAAGGAACTAAAAACTGGAGAGGACATTACTTTATGGTGGCAAGCTTCAGTGATCCATACCTCAGTCCTGGACAGAGCTGCTTTTTTTTTCTTTATCTGTTTGTTTTTGCTCTGCACCCCTAATGGGGATTCAGACACTCTTCAGATGTTAGTTTTCCTCTTTCTCCCCCACTCACAGTGGCCACTCAGTGTGCCTACTCCAAATAAGTCTGTCTAGTTCAGTGATGGCGGATCTTTTGAGCTTGGCGTGTCAGCATTTTGAAAAACCCTAACTTAACTCTGGTGCCGTGTCACATATAGAAATGTTTTCATATTTGCAACCATAGTAAAACAAAGACTTATATTTTTGATATTTATTTTATATATTTAAATGCCATTTAACAAAGAAAAATCAACCCAAAAAATGAGTTCGCGTGTCACCTCTGACACGCGTGTCATAGGTTCACCATCACTGGTCTAGAATTTTGCTACTATTCAGTGTGGTTCATGGACTAGCAACATGGTCAAGGCCTGGGCTCTAAGTAGAAATGCACCTGAAATTGACTGAATCTGAATTTGCTGTGAAAATTAGTGTCAGAGCTACAGCCATAGTGAGATACTGACCCGGCTGATCCCAAGTGACTCCTGGGTGCCTTTCCCAGAGCCCATGCCTACTGAGCAGAGGCAACCTCTCCCTCAGAGCCTTCCCGTGCAGACGTACACCCACCACTCGGTAGCTTCTCCCAGGGACATTTTGGGCTACAATGTCCTCTTCATTGCTCAGTCATTCCCATATCTACTGCCTTGTAGAGATTCACTGGGAGTTCCAGTCTACTAATGGCATGCCTTTTCCTACTTCCAATGTTCCCAGGGATTATAATGACTGTGAGTTCATTTTTATTTCATATTCCTCCTCTTATCAGTACTTCCTTCCCACTCAACTTATCCTGGAAGGAGGAAAAGCAAACTAAAGGCACAGTCCAGCCTTGGAGTTCTGATTCCCTTATATAAAAAGCATACAATATTGCCCTGGCTGGTGTAGCTCAGTTGGTTAAGCATCATCCTGTGCACTAAAAGGTCACCGGTTCTATTCCTCGGCACATACCCAAGTTTTGGGTTCGATTCCAGGCCCAGGGGCATATGCAAGGACATGGATCAATGTTTCTCTCTAAAATCAATGAAAATATTTTTTAAAAGTATCCTTCCTTCCTATATAACAAAAGCCTAATATGCAAATCGACCAAACAGCAGAACAACTGGTGGAATGACCGGTCGCTATGATGCGCACTGACCACCAGAGGGCAGACGCTCAACGTAGGAGCTGACCCCAGCCTGCAGGCCCCAGGCCAGCCAAGGCAAGTGCCAGTGCCCACCCTCCCCCAGATTGCTCTGCATCACCCCACAGAGGGAGGTGACCTGCAGCGGGGCGGGGGGGGGGAGGGCCGGCAAGTGGGTGGCATCAGGCCAGCCAATGTGGGTGCCAGTGGGGGTTCCCCAGACCACCCCGCCGGTTGCACCACAGATCAGTCCTGATCACCGGCCAGGCTTAGGGACCCTACCCCTGCACGAATTTCATGTACTGGGCCTTTAGTAAGATATTAAAAGTAGTGGAGGCTCATGTTATGTAGGAGTTCTGAACAGAATGTTATTCAGAGTAATCCTAGTGTGTTTCTAGTCACACTTCCAAGTGCAGCCTCTTTTCAGGATTTCTGTTTTTAATACTTGGTAGTGTTTAGTTTTGCCACCCTTTTGTGAAAGACAAGGATTTAGCTCAATTACACATTGGCCTTCTGCTCCCCAGCTCCTTCGCAACTTTTAAAAAATTTTTATTTTTAGTTTCTTTAATTTGCTGGTTCTTTATGTTGGATAATTTTGGATTCTATCGTAGATACTGGTGATTATTTTGTTGTTTTAATATTCATTTATCATGTAATTAACCTGGTTAGATTCAGACCACCAGTTTCATCTCACCATCTGAGGGTGTTGGTTACAGTCAATTCAGTTTTCAAAGCCTTCACTGTGCTCCTTTGGATCTGTGTTGTGTATGAACCTTTCAAAAGTTAATGTAAGACTTGAGTGATGGTTTAAGTCTTTGTACAATTTTCAAACCCTTCACTGTCCTGCTTTAGGTCTATGACACACACATGTTACTCAGGTGTTAGTCTCAGACTTGAGCTGTGGTTTAAATCTTAGTTTAGTTCAGTTCTTAAAGCTTTTGTATGAAGCTTTGCTTTCCTTGCATGCACAGCTCTTAGATGAGCTCATGTCTTAGGGAGATTCATATGCCATTGGGACAAAGTTTTGTGAAAAAAAAACTGAGTGATGTATGGGCTGCTTTTCCACTTTCTGGTTCACCTTCAAGTCTCCCCGCTTTTGTTTACTTGTTAGAATCCTCAAGTAGTTGCTTTACATATTTTGTCCAAAGTTTTTAGTTGAAATAATCAATAGACATACTTCATTGTAGCCAGACATAGAAACCTCAAATTCATTAATTCTAGATTTTATCTTTATCTCTGTCCTTTTGCTAGTTTGAATTTAATTTTCTCTTTTCCTGGTTTCATAAGGTAGAAGCTTAGATCATTAATTTGATAGCTTATTTTTCGAATATGATCATTGCAAATGCTATGACAGTCTTTAAGAACTGATCTAGCTATTTTAACACCTTTGTTGTATAATTGACATACAAGAAATTTCACATATTTAAAGTGTATAATTTGATAAGTTTTGACATGTACACACCCATGAATCTATCACCACAATCAAGATAATGAAGTCATAGATGAGTTGGAAGTATTTCTGCATCTCTTCAGTTCTTTGGAAGAATTTGTGTAAAATTGGTGTTAGTTTTTACTTAAATGTTTGATAGAATTCTCTAGTGAAGGCATCTGGGATTGGAGTTTTCTTTGTGGGAAGGTATTAAATTACAATTTCAATTTCTTTAATAGATATTGGGTTATTCAGATAATTCTTGAATTAATTTGGTAATTTATATCTTTCAAGGAATTTGTTCATTTCACCTAAATTGTCAAATTTATTGGCATATAGTTGTTCATAATATTCCCTTATTGTCCTTTTTATTTTTGAGGGTCAGTGGTAATCTCATTTTAGTTTTTAAAAAGTCTAATTTCGTGTAGTAGTGAAAACTATGAACTTCATTTAAAGGGAAATCTTTCCCCCTTTTCCCCTCTTGAGTCCTGCTCCCCTCATTCCCTCCCTGGACAAACAATATCACGAATATGGTGAGTATCCTTCTAATCCTTGTTTTTATACTTTTACTACATATCTGTCATTAATATAACATTCTTTTTGTAAATTTACCAGATTAGTGTTCTCAAACAATAGGCGTCTTTCTACAACTTGCTTTCTGTATTCAGTGTTGCACTTTGAGCTTTACCTATGCTGATATGTTATATTTACTAGTTCATTCATTTTAACTCTTGTATAGCATGCCAATGTCTGAGTATCACAGTTCATTAATCCATACCTCTATTGGTGAGCATTTGGTTGTTTCTAATACTTTGTTGCCCTTCTTGTACATGTATCCCGACTCACATTTGCAGAATTTGTCTATGGTGTAACTACAAGTGGAATACCTGGTAGGGTATGTACATTTTCAATATCACTAGGTGTATTATGTCTTTTCTCTCATAAATAAGTTCAGTTTGCCTTGTGTGCTTAAGAGTTTTGCATCTATGTAAATGAAATTTCTTTATAATATGCTCATATTCTGACCTTATTTGCTTTTGGCATTAAGTTCATTCTGTTTCGTATAATATTAAGCATTGTTTTACTATAATGTTATTTTCAACATTTCTCTCTCATTTTGTTCTAATTGTCTTTTGAAAGCAAAGAGCTGATGTTTAAAAATACAATTTAATATTGTCAGCTTTTAGTTAATATTTATTTATTATGCTATTACTATATTTGTATTTCTTACTTGTTTGTATTTTCTATATAGCCTGCTTTTTCTTTACCTCTTTTTTTCTGCTTTTGCTGTATTTTCTTTACCGCCCTTTCCCCCTTTGGCCATCTTCCTCCTGAATATTTCAGGTACCAAGCATTATTCTTAGCCATGCTGTGGTAAATTCTCTGTCTTTTCTTGTCCAAAAATGTCTATATTTGTCATCTTTCTTTGAAATAATTTATCTAGGAATAGAGTTATAAAATGTAGCTTCTCTTAGGACTTTGAAAATATTCTTTAATATTTTTGCTTTTTTTTTTTTAACCTAGATAGGGGCTCTCAAGATCACTACCAGATTCAGATATTCTTGAGAAGGACGCATGGGAATCAGCATATAGTTGTACTTACAGCTAAAATTTATTACAACGATGAAGTGAGCATATATAATTAGATCATAAGGGGAAAAACAGTAATAGATTCTGGAGGAATTCATGTATAGTATCCCTTATGCTTTCTCTCTCCCATGAAAGGTCACACAGGGCACACTTCTCCTAGTAGTGAAATTCAGAAACCTGTGTGATGTTTATGCCCAGGGAAGACTATTAGAGGCTCACCACCCTCAGATTTTCTTAGAGGCTGGTCAGATACACAAACTTGGCTTAGCACATACCAAAATTCCAGACTCCCAGAAGGAAAGGAAATGTTCAGCATAAATCACAGGGTTTGTACAAGCAGCCTTATCTCTTAGGGAATGGTGGGGACATTCCTGAACTCCAAATTCCCAAATGTCAGCCAAGGGCCAACCTCCCAAGGAGGTCTTCCTAAGTATAGCATTCTCAAGGCTTCTTTGTTAACCTATGTCTTGGCATATTGCCTCTCTCCATTTTCTCTATTCTTCCATTTGGATTTTCTATTAAACTTATGTTGAAACTTACCATTTCTCTATTTCTCTTAACATATTTCTCTTTTGTTAGCTCTTTATGCTACATTTTTTGTGTTATTTCTCAAGCTGTCATCTAATTCATTAAATCTGTCTTTATCTGTGACTAGTTCAACCTCTCTAGTTTAACACCTATATATTCTTTTATATTTATACTAGAGACCCAGTGCACAAAAATTTGTGCACTCGGGGGCGTGGGGGGGTCCCTCAGCCCAGCCTGTGCCCTCTCGCAGTCTGGGACCTCCTCGGGAGATGTCCACTTGCTGGCTTAAGCCCGCTCCCCAGGGGGATCGGGCCAAAGCTGGCAGTCAGACATCCCCCAGTCACTCTGCTGTTAGGGTCAATCTACATATTACCCTTTTATTATATAGGATTCCCAAAAATTTCCTATTTTTCAACCCATAGTCCAATTCTTATCTGACTCTTTTGTATACTTAAAATGTATTTATTTTAAAATCCATATGTTTCTACTAGTTATATTTCTAGGAATGAGCGAGTATCTTTAAATGTATCTGCTAATTCTCTCTCACAATGATTCATTTCCTTGTGAGGTTTTTAATTGCTTACTGTGAGCTCTTCAGTGAGAATTGGTTTTCCATAGATGGGCTGTGAGCCCTAAACTATAAAAACATAACAATATAGGGTATGTACATTGTTGGAGAGTTTTGGAAAGTTTGCCATTGCTACTAATAACAGGACCAATTTTCAGGTTAATTTTTCAGATTGTTGTTGCTGTACTACACTGATAATCACTTGAATTGGGTTACAGAACTAGGTTTTTTGTTTCTTATACAATAGAGGCCCAGTGCGCACTGGGGGGGAGGGGGTCCCTCAGCCCAGTCTGCGCCCTCTTGCAGTCTGGGACCCCTCAATCTTTACCACCTGCCTGCTCGCTGCTCCTTACCACCACCACCACTACACTTGCCAGCCGTGAGCCTGACTTCTGGCTGAGCAGTGCTCCCCCTGTAGGAGTGCACTGATCACCAGGGGGCAGCTCCTACACCTGCTCCCTGGTGGTCAGTGCACATCATAGCGACTGGTTCTGGTCGTTCTGCCATAAGAGTCGCTTAGGCTTTTATTATATAGATAATATCCTTATTTTCAATTTCCTTGACCAGTGGGGAGTCCTTCTAGTTCCTGTTAAACAAGCATGGAAACACCTTGTGATTCCAGCTTTAAGCGCAAATTACATTCCTGAACATTTGTGCCCTATGGTCTGGAGTCCCCTGCAAATCCTCAAACCTTAATTTCTGTTCATCCCACCACTTTAAATTCCCACTTCACTTTTCACATGTAATAAGTTTATTTTCTTGATTTTTAGCTTGACTGTGTTTTAAATTATTTTTGTTAAATATAAGCCAGCATTTCTTTGCCTTTTCATTTGGTAGTGGTGGGGGAGCATAGGGAGGGTCCATCCACATCAGCTCATATCTATTGATAGGAATTCTCAGTGGGATGTTTATGAATTAATTTTATCCTAGAACATTGTAGTAGGAGCATTTACAAGTTTGATGATTTATTGCATTTTGTCCCCCTAGAATTCTGGAAAGTTGATAACCAGAAAGATAACCACAAGGAAAGCCAAGATAAATCTCTGTGGCAAGCTACATTTATACACCAGGAAACTCTGAAGGATGCGAGTGACCAAGAAATAAGAACATGCGGAAAAATTATTTATCCCAGCACAGACTTTGTTTCTATAAGACAAAGACTCCTTAAATATTATTCATGGGAAAGATGTCCAAAACATAATTTGAACTTTCTGAGTCAAAATAGAAGCTATGGAAAAAAAGAAAGATGATGAATATCAGGCATATTGGAAATTGTGCTTCTGTTCTAATCTTGATAAAGCTCAACCTGGAGAGAAAATCTTTGAACCTAAACACCATGGAAAAGCCTTCCACCATAAGCAAGCCCTTAAAAGTCAGAAAATTCAAACTGGGGAGAAACCCTATGAATGTTCTGACTGTGGAAAAGCATTTATCCAGAAAGGAAACCTTGCTGTACATCAGAGAACTCACACTGGAGAGAAACCTTATGAATGCTGTGAATGTGCAAAAGCCTTCAGCCAGAAGTCAACCCTCATTGCACACCAGAGAACTCATACAGGGGAGAAGCCCTATGAATGCAATGAATGTGGGAAAACCTTTATCCAGAAGTCAACTCTAATTAAACATCAGCGAACTCATACAGGAGAGAAACTATTTGTATGTAGTGAATGTACAAAAACTTTTAAGAGTTCATATCACCTTATTAGACATGAAAAAACACACATTAGACAAGCATTTTATGAAGGTATCAAAAGCCTTATGCATCAGAGGATTCACATGGGTGAGAAACCTGAATGCAATAAACACAGGAAAACCTTTTATAAGAAACCCACCCCCATTAAACATCAGAGAATGCATACAAAAGAAAACTTTTGAGTGTAACGAATGTGTAAAAAGCTTCAGGGGAAAGTCAGACCTCTCTGTTCATCAGAAAATTCACACAGGAGAAAAACCCTATGAATGTAGCATATGTGAGAAGACTTTCAGTGGAAAATCACACCTCTCTGTACATCATAGAACTCATACAGGAGAGAGACCTCATGAATGCAGAAGATGTGGGAAAGCCTTTGGTAAGAAATCGACCCTTATTGTACATCAAAGAACTCATACAGGAGAAAAACCCTATAAATGCAGTGAATGTGGGAAAGCCTTCAGTGAGAAGTCACCACTGATTAAACACCAGAGAATTCATACAGGAGAGAGACCCTATGACTGCAGTGACTGTGGGAAAGCCTTTAGTAGAAAGTCAACTCTCATTAAACATCACAGAATTCATACAGGGGAAAAACCATATGAGTGTAGTGAATGTGGGAAGGCTTTCTATGTGAAATCAACTCTCATTGTACATCATAGAACTCATACGGGAGAGAAACCCTATGAATGCAAAGAATGTAGCAAAGCCTTCAGTGGGAAGTCAACTCTCATTAAACATCAGAGAAGTCATTCAGGAGATAAAACCTCTTAATATACTTAAGAGTGGGGTAACATCACTAGCAGTTATACTTCATTGTATATCAATTCATCCTCGGGAGTAACTCTTAAAGGTCAGAAATTCTTCATATAGTATATAATGTTCATTTAACTTAATAAAAAGTATAATTGCAGAAGCATATAATAAATGTGATCAATATTTCACCCAGAATTCTTATGCATGCATGGCAAATTGTATATCAAAGAATTCAAAAGTGGCAAAACTGTGTCTTGGTGTTGGAAAGCCTTTGGAGAGAATTTAAATGCCATTGCTTATCAGAGTATTTATGCTGTGGAAAAACTACAAATTTAATGAATTTATAAAACTGTTAGAAATTATGAGAGAAATATGTTCCAAACATTGTGGAAAAGGTGCAGAGGCTGCAAATAAACACTCATTAGTAACACTAAGATATATTCATTGTGGAATAGAGTATGACATTTTTAAAGAACAGTACAATAAAGCATAAAATATTAATCCTAGTTAGGGCAAACTTCCAGTGTATTTCTTAGTGAGAAAGGATGAGTCAGCATGATCCATGAGAGAAGATCAAACAGAAGATCCTCCACATATTTATCAGTATATTCAGTGCAGAATTGCAAACACAGAAAAGACAAATAGTAAGCTTTGACACAACTTGCTTAGGAACAGCGCTTACAAGAATATTTTGTCTTTTAAGAAAGATTAATCATTTTATGGTTACACTCGAGGCCCGATGCATGAAATTCATTCAAGAATACATCTTCCTTCCTCCGGCTTCTGGCACCAACTTCCCTATGGCATCTGGGACCCAGGCTTCCCTCCAGCCACTGGCAGGCTCCCAGTACCTGGGCTTCCCTCACAGCCCTGGCTTTGTCCAGAAGGTCGCCCGGAAGGACATCCGGTCTAATTAGCATATTACACGTTTATTATTAAAGATATTGTGAGGCAATGAAAGATTTTTAATTTTTAGTGTATCTGCCATCACAGCAATATTATTTAAAATAGCAAAAATATTGATTATTCAATGATGGGCAATTGATTAAAGCTATATCAAAAAGGTGGAATAATATGTACCAATTAAGAATTATCCTGTTTGGGGGGAATGGTCTGTTAAGTGAAAAAATAGATTATAAAACAATATACTGCATGACTTACATTGTAAAGAAATACATAGAGGATGTATATTCACCAGTTATATAAGTGATTCTGGGTGGTAGAAATATAGCAGTTTTATTATGAGTAAAATTATATGCACATATATAAGTAAACATATTTGTATTATATTAAAATATATTTTAGGGCTGTGTATATGTGTCTAGGACACAAAGAACAAAAAACTAGGAAGGAAATACTCCAAATTATTAAGTTATTTATCATTTGGGCATTGGGATTATTGATTTTTAAAATGTCTTCTCCAGAAACTACCAGTTGTTTAATTTTGTATATACTTGATTCTGTTTTCCATTTATTTTCTCATTCAGCTTTGTCTTTGATATATGACATCATTCTCTTAAAAATGACCTAATTTTCGTGTGTGTGTGTGTGTGTGTGTGTGTGTGTGCGCGCGCGCGCATGCGGGCACGTGTGTATTGCCTATTCATTTTCCATGTGATTGAGTCTATGGTTTTGAGTATGTATTTTGGGTCTTTAGAATATGTTTCCTGTTATTTTAATATCTGGAATGTTATTTTTTTGATAAAAATAAAACATCTCCATAGTTTTTTAGTTTGTAACCACCAAATCCTGTGACATAATTTATCAGCTAACAAATTTTATAGGTTAGGAGAGATGAATGGTTGAAAGTAGCACAAAGTAATGAGAAAACTGACTTCTGACATCCAATAGAAAGATAGAAATCTCATTTACCATGATATTTGTGAATGCTCATATTCCCCTCTTTTCCGTGTCCTATTGTCAGCAATTTTATCAGGTACACCCCAGGTGACCCCAATAATTTCTGCCCTATATAATGCTCTCCCCTTGAGTGTGGGCAGAACTGAGACTTGCCCCTAGCAAATAGATTATGGCAAAGGTGATGGGATGTAGCTCCATTTTGGCAGACTAGAGAGTTTTTCTTTGCTGTCCTGATGAAGAAAGCAGCCATGCTGAGAAAAATCCATGTGGCAAGGAACTGCAGTTGGCTTCTAGGATCCAAGGAAACCCTGAAACCCTGAGCTAAGACAGTGGGACTTGAGTGGCAAAACTATTGAGATAAGAGAATTGAAGAAAAATAAGACCAATGGATTGAGCTACTTTTTCCCACAAGGAGCTCAATGGTTGGTAAATGGCATGAGACAGATTCAGAGATGCACAACAGCCAAGTTCCTGAGAAACTAGGAGCTTTCCACAGAAGTATGTGCCAAGGAGATCAAAATTAAAGTTCAGATCCCATCAGTGATGATAGGCTCTGGTAAAAACCACAGACTTTCAATTGGATCTTCTTTTAAATATATATATTTGAAAGAATTACATATGTCTCCTTTTTCACCCCATTGATCCCTTCTAGCCTGCCCCCTTCCCCCTGCCCCAGACCTTCACCACACTATTCTGTGTCCATGGTTATGCATATCCCAATATATAAAAACCCAGGGTCCATAACGACCGACCGAAGGCTCGACCAAACACCAGAAGTCAGTCCTGCAGTCAGTGCTGGGTTGCTGTGGTGACCCAGCACTGACTGCCGCTGAGGGTGCAGCGACCCAGCACTGACTGCTGAGGAGGCTGCGGATCAGGCCCGGAGAGAGAGGCAGGG